GGAGGCGAGGACAGAAAACCCAGCACGGTCACTTGAGCGGCGATGGTGGGATGGAATGAAAGAGGGTAAGATTATATTGGGTTTAGAAGGTGGGTGGGGCGAGTGAGGAGAGAGGAGGCAATTTTTTATAAAAATTTTCAAAATATCTTTTTCATTTTATTTTATAAAAAAATATTGAACTTATATAACAAATTGAAAAGGTCCACAGGAAATTACTGGGCACCCTAGATACAATCTGGGCTCCCACTCCCTTAAAGACAACAAAGCTAAGTCTAGTGAAAATGTACGCGGTCGCCTGAGCCCCCGCATCCTGAGACATGGAGAATTTCTGGATGCTCTTAAGCAAAGCCACAACATCCGTATCCAACTCCCCCAGCGAAGAGAAAGAAAAGGGCAGGAACTCGTAACCAGTTGACATGCACAAATCTCGATACTTAGCACACTTACGCCGAGCAGCATCAGCAAGAACTCGGCCAACACAAAATTGGTCATCCCAGTCGGAGTCAAAGGTGAAAACCTAGTAAGATCAATACACACATCTCGTCCCCTATCCCAGGAATAAAACAGCAAATTCACAGGACGAAGGGGTCTGCCATGCCCATAAACCAAACCGATATCAAACTCCTTTCCGACAGAAATCCCAGACATGTAACAGATATCCAGTAAGGTGTCTCGAATGAGGTTATGCCGATGTTTAATGCCCACAATACCAGCACACGACACAACATGATCCCCAAAGATATCACCATCAAAGACACGAGAACAAGCAGATTAGGGCCTAGATACAAAAAATAACAGGACACCCAGTCGATAACTAAGCACACTACGATATGTCCTTCCATTCATAGTCTGGCCCAACCTAGCAATAGGAACAACACACAACAAATCCAAAAGTGTGCACTCTATTGGGACTCCCACAAAGCAACCTGACGCGTAGTCAACGAGAAAACATAATATGAAGTAGCAGCAACATTCGCAAAATATATGTCTGCCAATTTCTTCATAAGTTTTGGGGCAGCAACTTCGCTAGGGTCACGTAAGATATCAGAACCTGAAAACTCATTGAGTGTGCGTAGGGAATCATCAAAAGCAGGGCCAGGAGAGAGAATACCAGAAGGACGTATGAGCTTAGCCTGCAACCCAGCAGACTGTAGACGAGATGCCAAAAAAGCATAATGCACGACATCTCCAGCAGCATAAACCCCAAGCCCACCTAAATGAAAAGGGAAGGTGGCAAGTCACCACTGCCAATCACCGAACCCAGGCCCAGAAGCAGTAACAATACGTTCTAAACGGGAATGAAGGGATGTGTCAAAAGAGAGCTGAGCCGGCCCAAAAACACGGGGGGCAAGTACGCAAAGCAAAGTTGAGTTTTGAAATACCAATGCAAGGCCGAAGCAAAAGCAACTCACATTTTGGGTCATCAATCCTCGCAACCAAGTCAATCAGCTACTGACAGGCCCACCCAGAACGGTGACACCATGAGAAGGTCGAGCAGTAGAGGCAGGAAAAACACCAAAAACTCGACTCTTAGGATCTTTAGTAGGCCATAAAATCTCCGTCTTATCCATATTTAGGTAAGCCCAGATCGAGGGCCCTCAACCATAATCATGTCTAAGGCTTTCCCTACAACCAAAGTGTCCCACAATAGTCCCATCATCCAAATACCAGGCATGCAAACTCAGGTCAAAAGAGTCTCTGATCTTGCACACTAGAGGATGTAACACCAAAGCAAAAAGCAAAGGGCCCAAAGGGTCCCCCTACTGAACCCCCTGGTAAGACCATAAGTTATGCTCCCAATAATACAGTCGGGCAGGGGTAGAGTAACAGAACTCTACCCATCGGGAAAGAACCGGGCAACGACGGCAAATTTCCTGAAGCATGGCCCCACGATCAACTAAATTGAAAGCATTCTGAAAATCGACCAACAACATAGAAAGACCAACGTCACCACCACAGGTCTCAACTAACCGGTTCAAGACATGCAAAATAGCCTCTCCTCCACTAGAAACGCCAACCCCAAACAAAAGCCCATCAAAATAACCAGATAAAGAAGGGCCAACAAGACAAGGACCAACTTTAGAGACAAGACGTCTCCAAATAGTGCCAACAGCTATAGGACGGATACCACCCCTAGTTTAACAAGCGGCATCAGCGGAGCGCTAGCAATGTACTCACTAAGGATATGCGGGCATCGACCCTCAGGGAAAATATTAACCACCCGAGTAATAAAGACGACCAAATCATCCGAGATAGCAACAATAGCTCCACCCAGACAATCCATAAGATGTTGAGCCAGAAAACCATACCTCCGCAAGACGTACCACGAGGGAAGCTCCTAATAATATCCAAAATAGTAGCTAAAGAGGCAATAAGAGGATGATGATCCAAATGTAAAGTCGAAAAAGAGGGAGATGAGGCGAAGGGATGCTTATCTTGCAGAGCTACACAAGTGGCATCAGAATAAAGGGCAATGCCGGAAAAAGAAAGTACCCGAACAGCAGCAGCATAATGCCCATCACAAATCTTCCTCTGACATTATCGAAGGTTGAGCTCACTCAAATCGAGATCCTCCTCCACATCAAATGAAGGGGAACCTAATCTAAGGTCTCTCGCAAAAGCTGCAAATCGCCACCAGCCCCCAAGCAAGAATAGCACTAGTAACACTCTCCTCTTGACGAAGACTCCTAATCGCGGATCGACACTCAAGATTAATCCGCGGAGAAAAGGTCTTAAACACACAAAGAGGTAACACAAGTAAGCGGATCCAGCAGGAGAGGTCACAAGGAGAAACACCCACATCATCCAAAGACCTTTCAGAGCCCGTGCGAACCCAAGACGACACTTAGGAGGGATAGATTTCACAGTGCGAAAACCCATAGAGAACAAACAATCAAGCAAAGAGATAGACCAACCCACATGCTCCATCCTAGCGTCAGATGAGATAACCGACAAAGATGGAGCTGGAGGTATGGGAATATCATAAATAATAAAATGAACAAGGCCGTCACCGCAATCAGGAGGCTCCATAACAACATCCCCATCATGTCGGCATTTAGAACGGAAAGAGTGAGTATGAAGGCTAACCCCACAAAGCCAAACCCCCATCCGCTTTAGAGTAGTTTCAGCATTAGAAGCACTGGCAAACTATCAGAAAGAGTCTGGCGTGTAAGAGCCATAGCTTCACCGCGATAATGTCGATCTCTAAAGTGCTGGAGCATAGAGGATTTGGTAAGATCCCTGCCTTGACCATCCTGACACCCATGTAGACCGACGAAAGGGCAGTGATACTGAACAAGAGCGGGCATGACACAAGGGAGACAAAGCTATGGAGAATCACACACCCACATACACTTCAATTCGGCCAATCAATCACTCGTCACACTCCCATGTCACCTCAGATTCGGAATGGGAAATATCCCAAAATTCAAGAACCCTAAATTAGAGTCTCGATTCAAACCTGGTGGAAGCAGAGCTAGAGTAGAGAGGAAGTCCCCTGAGCTTGGTAATTGCAGGAAGAGGGTTGCTTTCGGTACGCTAGTTTATCACGATCACGCTGCCGATATAGGAATATTATGTCCAGGACAAAACGCGCATCGCGCAGAAGTCAAGAAAACCCTGCTGTCTCCGTGAGGGCACTATTGGACGAGTCCCGGCTTCAAAGCTCGAAGCGGAAACAAGAGACCGGCGAGGGCATCGACAACTTGTTTGGTTTTCCAAGTGAAATAATTCTTTCTTTGATTAAGAAAGGATCATTATTTTATTAGGATCCATCCAATATTATTTTATTAATTTTTATTAATTTAATTTTTCACATGACATTCACGTTAGCATACTGATTGATTAACGGTCAATGATATTGACCGTCTAATTTGACCGAAATTCATGAGTCGGGCCAAATCAATATATATGGTGTATAGTTGAGGTTAAGATAAGAAATTTTAGAACCATTGGTCAAAATTGATTATATAAATATAGTTCAATCAAAATAAGATATTAACCCATGAGAAATTATTGGGTACTCCGGGAGTACCACGTCAACATGCTGATTTGGTACTCCCACCCAATAAAAACCCGGCACCTGTTATCAGTTTCATTATTAAATTTATTGCTGGAAAATCTTTTATTGAGATCCCTAATTTCAATAAACAATCAAACTGCACTATCTGCTACTTTGCTTCGTCTTCCCAAATCCCCTAGAACTCATCCCCTCCCCCTATTAGCAATCATCATCTTGTATTCTTGCAACTGCAAGCTCAAGCTTCTTTCTAATCCAATCCCAAACACCCAACTATAAAACCTACCCACAAGCCGCCCAGCAAAAGGAAAAAACAAAAAAAAACGAAACGTAAAAGAAACAAACAAGAGAGCATAGGCAGAGGCGCCCTGGAGAAACCATTCCATTTGGGACGAAGGAAAGATCACCAGAAGCTTCGTCGACGGTGGGGCTGGATTGGGAATTTAGACGGTGACGATTGATTCGAGCAATTGTCATCGTGCTCGGGACTGAAAAAAATTTCCCAACGGCGACTTTTTCGCGTCTGGCTCATCGACGAAGCCGTGGAGCTGGATTTGGAATTCTGGATTGGGGATTGTTACCGGCGGTGGCTACATCAGGGGTTTAGAGTCTTTGATTTGGAAGAAGGAAGGAGGAAGATAGACTCCAACATAGGAGTGACTGCTTTACGGGGCGGAGAAAACGAGGTAGGAAAGAGGGGCATTGATTATATTAATTGAGATAATAACAGAAAATAAATTAATTAAGAAAACAGGTGCCAGATTTTTATTGGGTGGGAGTACCAAATCAGCGTGATGACGTGGTACTCCCGGAGTACCCAATAATTTCTCTTAACCCATGAGGTATAGACGAAAGTCGAAACGCATCGAGAAGCGAAAAAAAACTTGCTTTTAGGATAACCACTCTCATCATGTTCCCCCGTCAGAAACCTATTGGTCATTTCTCATTTCCAAATCCTCACTCTTCTACCCGCTTTTGTTAAAACTATCGTAAGCCCGCAGAGCACGATCAGACTAGTCTCAGTGCTTTCCCGTTCCCAGTCCTCACTTACTCCTTGACTAGAAGAAAATAATGGCGTCCATGGCGTCGGTTCTCCGGCGTAAGCTCCGTGTGCAGCCGTTTCTTCTCCAGCTGCGTTTCTTCTCCGCGGAATCGCGTCCGCAGCAACGGATAGAGAAGATTCTGGTAGCCAACAGAGGAGAGATTGCTTGTAGGATCATGAAGACTGCTAAGCGCCTAGGGATACGAACCGTCGCCGTCTACAGCGACGCTGATAAGGATTCGCTTCATGTGAAATCCGCTGACGAGGCCGTTCGTTTAGGTCCACCTCCCGCTCGGTTGAGTTATTTGAACGGTTCGTCGATTGTGGATGCTGCAATTCGTACTGGTGCGCAGGTGAGGGTTCGAAAACAGCCTTTGGAACTGGATCAACTACTGCTCTAGTTTCTTTTGTTTGCCTCTATTGTGCGATACGTTTCCCTACCCTTATAGTCGAGTCTCATATATTACACTGGTATGGTGTTTTGGGGCCACCAACTTGAATTTCGCATTTCTGAGATAGTTGACTTTTTGGCAAGTTCTGCACTTGTGCTGCGATGGCTAGTTTATCGACTCTTGATGTTAATGGCAAAAATGGTTAACTGCTCGTAGCAATATCTTGACTATTTTGTTTCTAATTCTCTCTTGCTCCTGTGGTGATCCTGAGTTTTGTGGATCTTCTGTTTTTGTTTATCCAACTGCTCTACTTCAATTTTGACAGCAAATGTATCTCGTGGATTATTAGGCTATCCATCCAGGTTATGGATTCTTATCAGAAAGCTCAGGGTTCGCTAAACTTTGCGAAGATAAGGGTCTTACTTTTGTTGGCCCTCCAGCCTCAGCAATCCAGGATATGGGTGATAAAAGGTGCTTATTAACTTTGCTAGCTGGTTCAACCTTTTCCTAAGTAACAAATGATGTACACAGGTTGCCTGGGTCTCCAAATCCATATACTTGCTATTACTTTTGTGTCCACAAAGTAGTTTTATTGCAACTTGTTATGATTTCATAAATTGACTTCTCTGTTGACATTCTATGTGTTTTATCAGTGCATCAAAAAGGATAATGGGTGCGGCAGGGGTGCCACTTGTACCGGGATATCATGGTAGCAATCAGGATATTGAATTTATGAAGTCGGAAGCAGATAAAATTGGATATCCTGTTTTAATCAAGCCAACGCATGGCGGTGGAGGAAAGGTTTGCCATTTTCTCACAATTCTTTTGCCCTGTTTTTTGCTAGTAGCATGTTCTGTTGTATATCATGAGTATCAGTTACTTCCATAGGAAAGTTCGATAGGCTTAATCGCTCAAACTTGGAAGAATGCCAAAAACAAAGAATAGCCGAGTATTTATTCAATGTGACTTCTCTCTTTGACATATTTATCTGGAGATTCATAGATAATCGATATAGGTTTTATATGCAGCTTGTTTTGTTAAGTTCAATATTCTTTTGGATGAGGTTCTTACTCTGCAGGCTTTTAGGGAATGAGGATAGTGGAGACTCCAAAAGAATTTGCGGACTCATTCCTTGGCGCACAGCGTGAGGCTGCTGCTTCTTTTGGTATAAATACAATATTGCTAGAGAAGTATATAACCCAGCCGAGACACATAGAGGTCCAGGTATATCGTTTTTCCTGTGCAAGTTGGCTAGGAATTTCTTGCTAACAATGCTTGGAACTGTGCTCAGCTTTAATTCTCTGGATTCTTTTGTACTAGGTATGGCTGATTTCTCATTGGTCTTCTTGCTTTGGCTTGAACTTGTAGGTATTCGGAGATAAACTAGGCAATGTACTGCATTTATATGAAAGGGATTGCAGTGTGCAAAGGAGGCATCAGAAGATTATTGAAGAAGCCCCTGCTGTAATGCCTGGTTCTGTGATTTCAGTTTAATTAGTGGTGAAAAGGGGGTATGGTTGTAATCAGAATTTGGTTGATGCAGCCAAATATAACTCATGACTTCCGCTCCCATTTGGGTCAGGCTGCTGTATCTGCAGCTAAGGTAATCTGAGTTCATTTTCTTCTACTGAATGGTGACATATTCAATATGAATTCACTGTCAGATTGTTACTGAGTGATCACTCAGCCTCTCTTGACATGTGATGTTAAACTTCATTCTTTCATGGATCTCATAACAATATTCTTTCTTCTTTGAATTAAGGATGTATATCAACAATTTGTTACGTTACTGAAGTCCTCTTGACTTCCTTTCTGTGGTCCTTGTCTTATTGTCTTGCATTGAAGAATGTAAAATCTTTGATTATCTTTTTCTAGATCATGATACTCTTCTGCAGAAATTTGTCAGTTTTTTTTAGTAGAAATTTGTCCGGTTATTCGGCAATGTGGAAATTTTGTTGCTTCAGTCTAATTTATCTTGAAAACTGTGTCGCCTTTTTTTGGGGTGCATTTCAAGCTTCATCTAAACACCCTTAGCTCTCATCTACAAGTTCACTAATGAAGTCTTCTTACATGTTAAAAGGCTGTGGGTTACCACAGTGCTGGAACTGTGGAGTTCATTGTGGATACTCTCTCTGGGAGGTTCTATTTTATGGAGATGAACACCCGTCTGCAGGTAACAGAACAATCTAACCTCCCAATATCTTAAGCTCTTTCATGATAACACATTTCTTTAGTTATTCTGCTGTAGGTTGAGCATCCTGTGACTGAGATGATTGTTGGTCAAGATCTTGTGGAATGGCAAATCCGTGTTGCTAATGGAGAACCCTTGCCAATTAGCCAGTCAGAAGTACCATTATCTGGTATTTATATCTAATTTTGTTTTGTACAACTGGAGGTCTCATTAAGTTGCACGAACAAAGGATTGTATGCATGTTTGTCAAGCCCAGATTCTGCCATCTTCCCTTCTTTCCATTTATTTTGGGTTCAAAAGGGGACTTAAAAGGGTGCCCCTGGCTGATACGTAAATTAATCGAGATTGGGCAATACATTGTATGTGCATGTCTGAAAAGAAGGAACTTTTTCTTTTCTTCTATTTAAAATTAAAAGGTTTGTAAAACATGAGGCTCAGGTAGAGAAAGGGTTATTTACCCTCTCTTGATTGTCTAAAAGCTGAGTTTAATGCAGGTTTCCCCTTATCCAATGACCGTTGAGTTCGTGGGTTGTTTGATTTCTTTGTACAATTATCATTTTTCTTTCTTTGTAATCATTCCCTCTGCTTTTAATTTTCATTATTGAACAGGTCATGCTTTTGAGGCTAGAATATATGCAGAAAATGTCCCCAGGGGGTTCCTTCCTGCAACTGGAGTTCTTCACTACTATAATCCTGTTCCAGCTTCATCAACAGGTGAGGAAGCAATGCAAATTGTTTAATCAGAGTTGTCTACTAGTAGCTGTAGG